AACAGAAAATCGCATAAACGGACAGGCTTATCTCAATGAGCTGCTGCCAATGGCCATGGGGGCCAACTGAGGAGCCACCGATGGAGTCCCGGACTTTTGGCCATATATGCGTGCAACCACGCAGAAATGAGAAAAAACGGCAGACAAAAAAAAAAGCACAAGCGGCGATATTGATAGGCGCAATTAATTATACGCGCCTCACACTGACATTAAGCGTTTTGCTTTGGTGGCACCGTCTATCCCTCTCTCTCTTTCTCAGTCTATCTCTCTCGCACTCTCGGGCGCTCTATCTCGCTCTGGCCCGATCGAACGTCGTTGCCGCGCGTATCAATGACCAAATGACATATTAGCCTTCGTCTTAGTGTAAAAAGCCGCGATAACTTTGGCAGACGCACACGCAATGTGCCTCCAAGAAAGCAACAACAACAACAACAAATCTATGAAAAATAACAACAAAAATAGAAGAAGAAGAAAATACCACAAAAGCAACAACGACAAGTTAGAATCTAATCGTTTATTGAACTCCCAAGTCAAACCAGAAATCGAACATAATACGCATACGCAGCGTGCGCCGCTCCATGAAACCGATTGAAGTCTACGATTTTTCGGTAAACTAGAGCAGACAGTGTCCAACTGTGTCGCTCTGCTGGCCCGCTGGCGGCGTTGAGAGCTGGAAATTACGACCCCAGACCCCAGTGTTCCCCTCTACCCCCTTTTGATCAGCCACCCCCCACAGGGCTCTAGATTTCGATTAGGAGGCCAGCAAATACAGTGTGGGAAAATCATGACTAATCTGAATACTGCATTAATTAGTTCTGGGAACTTGCATTTTAAGATAAATATACATTTTTTTAAGCTTTTTTGTTTTATACAATTCTGAAATATTTCCCTACTTTTGTTAGACTTTTGTTGATTTGCTTTTGGCTTTAATTACAACCTTTTTCTCGGTGTAAACTTTATATGCATATGCATTATGCTGGGGGAGTAGGAAGTTGATGTGCACGTTTCGTTGAAATATGAGTAGCTAAGTGACTTTATCACGGTGGCCCCTAACCGAACCAAAGCCAAAACCAACAGCAAAAGCAAACCAAACCAAGTCAAATAGACTAGAAGAGAAGTGTAGAGTCTGGCGCCATTGATTTCCATTGCATTCATTCCCATGAACTTGGAGTGAATGCAACTCCCACGCTTTAAAGTAGCTCGTTTGGGATATTTGTCACGTCTTTGTTGTGACTTTGAATGGTCGCTTTCCTAGAGGAAAGTCGCTTGAATTTCACAGGTCTAATTCAGCCCTATTCTGTTCTTTTCACTTGAAAGTTTATTTACGAGCACAAAGCGTGCGGTGTCTGCTTGGAATTCTGATAACTGAGGAGTAGGAAGAGGTAAACGCGTACTAATAGTCTTCATTTGAGTCTTACTAAGACATTTGTTTATATTGTAAGGCAATCTATTAGGCATTACCTTTATGTACATATACTAAAGCTAGCAACTATTTCTTTATAAGTTAACAAGCAAATACCACATCACTTTACATCTTTTTTTGCGACTGCAATTTCAAAGTTACAAAGCAATTTCAACATTATTTAATAAGTATGAGGGCGTAGCCGGCAGCTTAACTGCTTGAAAAACTAACAAAAAATCGATGGCAAATTGTCAGTTACTACTGTGTAATCAGCGGAACAATAGCAACAATCATGGCTATGCCAATGCTTTCAGCTTTCAACTCTCCACTGATTTGCTAAACAATTACGAGTACACTCGGTGAGTACTGGCCGTATACAACAAATAGGTTGTACAAGCACTTTAGATAAGAATCTTAATAGAATTGCCAGGCGAAATGCAATCCAATACACACAGATATACAGATACAAATACATAAAACAGGGTAGAGAGTTGAGACCTAATGATATTTATCAGCAATTCGTACAATTTCCATGAGCAGGGCATCATCATATTTACAAGTTAATATTTACGCTAACAAGATTTGCCCGTCCCCGCAACTAAGTTGGTGATCTAGCCACAGGCTCAGTGTTCTGTTGTATTCGGTTCTCTTCTCTCCTGGGTTCTTTTATTCGGTATCCGGGATCTCTGGGGATCTTGGAATAACCATACTCCTACCCATGCCCATTCCCCTTTAGCACAAAAGGATCGCATTGGCACACGGCTCTGTAGATGGAGACACTTAGATATCGGGGGAGGGCGACATGAGTAGACAAGCAGAATGCTTGTTAAAGCGCACAACATGCAGATTTCATTAAAGATATCGCCGGATGGCACTGCAGTCGCTGAAGGGAGCCACTTTGCATGTGGCAGCCAGAGAGCAGAAACTAAAGGACACTGAGAGAAAAGTAACTGGTTAGATAATAAATGCAAACTATTAAAAAAGAAGTTTGAAATTGTATACAATTTTATACCTAAAAATCATAAATAACGAGTGTTTATAATTTCTAATACTTTTTGTAAGTAAGTCAGCGAATTCCAGTTAAAATACTTCTAAAGTGCAACCTCCTTTTGCATTTATCAGTGCACAGAATCAACCACAAACAGTGATTCCAGCGGATGTTGTTGTTGATGCAAATGTGGTGCAATATGCCTCACTGCAGATGGCGTATTTCTGACGCGAAAGTGAAGAGCAATTCGCTGGCAGGAGTTCCTTAGTTGCAAGTTCTAATGAAAGTCTCGCAGACTAACTGACTAACTGATTGAATGTCTGGCTTGGCTTGGCGTGGCTTGGCTTGGCTTAGGTTAGCTGAGCCTGGCCAACTGTGGCCTAATAGCTGCGGTAATAAAATGGCAATTAAGTGCCTTTATGGCCGTGTCCCATCATCCTGCCCTGGTCCACAGCCGTGGGGCATCCTTTTATGCCCCATGGCCGGAGCCCCATAAAAATACTTGTTTACGCATGTACCAACAACTCTATACTCTAAGTCTATAGCAACTGAATCCAGACTTTGGTGGTAATTCGCCTGCGGTATCTGCGGTTCTTTTTTTCTCCTTGTCTTTCCTTGTATTTTTTTTTTTGTTTTTGGCAAATCGGTTTTTAGGGCTCATCTCTCGCCCAGAATTGTTTATGTTTATTGTGGGCATAAGTTTGTGCTATTTTATAGTTTTATCGCTTACACATGTCGAATGCAATTTGCCGTTGGGCGGGCCAGTTTACGTTTATTGATTTAAAGTGTTAGTTTATGCGGTGCCTGGATGAAAGGGATTCCATAAAATAATGCCCAGCCCTTTTCGATTCGTTCGGCATGTCAACTTCATAAGCAGCGCAAACGAATTAACGCTTTATACACTATGGATCCCCATCGAGATCGGTAATGAATAGTGGAAGGGAGGAGTCCACGATCTGCATTCTGAATGGCAGAATAACCCAAACAAATCAGAAGATTAAAGCAGATCTTGGCCATCAAGGCACTTGTTTGGATTGGCTTTATGGTCAACTGGTGAGGAGATGAACAACAGCACAACAGGCACTTTAGAAGCCCTTTGAGTTGCAATTTAGGCATAATCAGGCTGTTAAGACCAGCTTGATCGTTGAACAGTGTGCACTTGGAGAAAAACGTTGACTAAGTGAGTCATATTTCATGGTTTTATATTTCACTGCAAATCAATCTTTTCCCTTTCCTTAATGCTATTATCTTTGTTTATGTTGAGTTTATCACATATTGATAATGTTTATGTCAGTTATTTATTTATTAATACAAGGCGGAAAATCATTTTATTGATTCATTTATATTATTTACCTTTGCAACTGGTTAAGGCTAAACTGCTAAGGCTTATGAAAATATTAATTTCTTATATTATCATCATATTTCCAATATATTACCTTGTTTACTTCGATTCCAAAGTGTGGTTATCTGTGAGGGATTTCTGTGAAGACTCCATGACAAACCAATTTGAATCAGCATGGGCTTGAGTACCGCTTTTTGAGGGGGATCGCACAATGACTGGCTTTTGTGAGTCACTAACTTGGCGTATGCGTAATATCTCTTAACCGCTTTTGCTGCCATTTCTGCAGTTACTCTCGTTTCTCTTTCCAAACCAACAATTTCCGTTCTACCTTTATCTCTCTTTGTTGACTTTTATGGCATTTGCCGAAGTATTAGTTATCAGTTTGTTCTTTTTTGGTTTTGTTCTCCCACCTTTTTGGCGCAACTCGTTTAGAAATATTAATGCGAATTCGATTTGGAAATGTTTGACTTTGATTTGAGTCAGAGCCAGTTCACGAGAATCTTTTATTGCCCGAATCCGAATGGGAAATATGCAAAAATCGTGTGTGCGCTTATTGAAATGCAAACAGTTGGGGAGCAACAGAAGCGACATGACATGGCAGTACATATTTGCATGAGAATTAGAAACAAGAAACGCTAAAAATCTGACTTTGGAGTTTTGCGCTGGCGCAGAAATCTTGTTCGGCATGGGGCGGCCATATAGAGTCGGTGGGGCATACCAAAAATAACTCGGCATACAGCAACATCACATCAGCAGCAGCAGCAGCAGCAGCAGCGGCAGCAACAGCAACAGCACACGAGCAACCTCAAACTGGCCCAGCAGCAACAGCAACACAAATGGCAACATTAGCGCAAATTTCAACGGGGCACAATTTGAATTTGAATTTTGTTTTTGTGCGACACTCACAAACACGTTTTCTGTATATATTTATTTTTTGTTTTGGTTTTTTGGGCCTTTTATAATATATATACATATATATATCTATAGAAAAAGCCAAGCCGGAGATACGGCGATGAAAAAAAAAAGAATTCCCCCAGAGCCAATGACTCCGAAAAAACATGTGTTGATTAACATAAATGATTTCTGTGCGGCTCAAAAGCCTGTTCGTCTGCCATTTGTAAAATGTAAAAGCATTTTTGGAAATCTTTATTGCTGGTCGGTGTCAAAACGTAAATAGCAGCTGGCAAATATTTATTGACTTAATTGGCATATTTGCTCAGCTCTGGGAAAGTTTTGCTTTTGAGTTAATTAAGAAATTTGGTACATACCTTTTTCGCTGCAATTTTCATGCAAAAATTGTCCCGGAGACTCCAAAACTGCAAAGAGAAAGCCAAAAGAAAAGAAATAAGGTTAGTTTATTTGTCAACTAATCAAGGCAATCGTTTCGATATTTGGCCTTTTGTTTAGTCCACCGAAATAAAAGTGGAAAAATATTGGCACGCACTACGTTATATGCTAATTTTACGCTGTATCTTTCGCATGATAAATGCCTTGACTAAATGCATAAATTTAAGCCAAGTTAAGCAAACAGCTGAGCAGCTGAAAGCAGGTAGTTGTTTAAAGGTTGCTAGGCCAGTTTCGTTTGCCCAGCTGGACACGAAAAAACAGTTGACAAAACTCGACTCGACTCGAGTCTGGGCCATAAACCAAACGCAAATCGATAATGCAATGCGGTATAAATTAGCGGGTGATGAGATGAAGATGCACAGGAAACTCATGTGATGCATAGATAAGCTTGTGAGACTGTTGTATTAAAAAAACATATAACAAACTTAAACCAACATGCTAATGTCTGCGATTTTCCAATCCAAAGAACTGTCGAAATATGTTCAGGAAGTACAAGGCCAAGACGAGTGACGTTGATTGCAAAATGTCTCATATAACTTGCAGAACAGCTTGCACAATTTTCCAAGCAACAAACAACACACCCAACCGAGTCATCTTCTTGCTGTTTTTTGTTTTTCCACTTTTCGCATTTACCATCCTTCCTTTTGCAATTCAATCAGCTGACATACGTAGCCTCCTGGCCAACGGAACGGAACCAGACGTCATTTGGAATACAAATCGCCCGATGCGGCACATCAGGTTTCGCCATGGTCGTCACTCAAACCAGTAGAATTTCTAAACTGGTTGAGCGACACAAAAGGCCGAGTATCTAGCCAGCTAGCTAGCTAGAGTAGCCACACTACCTCTACTCTATGTTACTCACAGCTAACAATGCATCTCGTATTGTATACTAAATGTATAACAAATTCCGGTAGGTGCGGTGCTGTTTTTACTTTCAAATGCCTGGCATATTTCTATAGATCAGCTGAAAGCTAAAGCCCTGTCAGCTCTGGCCAATTTGCGTGTGTTAATTGAGACTAACTGCCCCAGTAGTAGACGGCGGCCCTAGTGCTTTGATTAATTATAGACAGGCCGTCATAATTTACGACTGTTGCGTTTGCTTCTGTGGCAAGTTGCATGACAGAATGCAGTATGAGAAAAACAACTAAGATTCATAGGGGAAATGTTACACAATATTGCGCATCTGAAAATGAAAGCCAACACTCTCGAAATATGTGTTGTGTTTTTCTAACCCAGAAAAAAGAGTGCGCTGTGAAAGAAAGCAAGCCACTCGAAGAGTTGACAAATCATCGCCAGATTTACTTTTCAAGAATTAATCCCACAGATCTGCAGACTCATGGCCTAATCAAAAGTAAGAGTTGCCGAAAATTGTTCATCAGCAATATAAATAAGACAAAACTTCGAACCGAATTAACCCATATTTTGCCAAGAGATGATCGCGAGCTTAACCCAAAGTGGAGGAGAAAAAGAGTGGAGAGCTTGCGTGCCTAGAGCTTATTGATCGAACTGATCGAACAGCAAATGGCAGTTGCAACTACTGACACACCTTTGCCCATAAAAACTACAATATATATATATATATATATATATAGAGAGAGAGGTACATATAAAAACCAAAGCCGAGTTGCAACTGTTGCAATAATGAGCCACTGCCAAAAGGGAGATAAGGCTGTGTGGGTGCCAGCCAAACCGCCGAAACCACCTGCATTTTCCATTTTCATTTTCCCATTTGATGCCGCTTGATTCGCAATTTGAAAGCCTGCCAATCAGCTGGCAAACAATGAACAACTGCCAACTCCGCGAGCCCAGCGTGTGACTGCCAAAATATTGCATATTGTGTGCACACGATTTCGTTATGCATTTCAAATGCAAATTGCTTTTGAAAGGTAATTGATCCCCGGGCTCTGTTCAAGTCAATGACAGAATAATTCTCCGATTGCGACTTTCAAATGCAGCGCAGGAAATACACAAAATTTGTGAAACAAAAAACAGAAAACAACCGAAATCGACAAAGACAAAAAAATATAATAAAACAAGAGGAAACGCTATAGTCGAGTGCCGCGACTATAAGATACCCGTTACTGTTTTACAAAATTTTAAAATATTATTTTGCTAGTGGAAATTCACAAGGCGCCACCTATTGTCAGAGGAAGTATGTTGAGTATGCTTATAGTGACGTCACTGCCCATGTGAGGCCTTATAACCTTAATTTCTTCATAAATAGCGAAATAATATTCCGATTTGAAAAATCTTTGGTAAATCGATAGATATTAACAGAAATAAGTTATACAAGGTCAAACGAAGGCATTCATAATAATATTATAGACGCCACAGTTTACCGCGGTTTGTGGGCGTTAGAGTGGGCGTGGCCGAACGCAACTTTGTGGCAAGTTGCAGAGGCATCCCCTTAATATGTGTTTCTAAGCAAAATTGTGTAGCTCTTATAGTTTTCGCATTTTTTTTTTTGGTTTTTCGGGTTTTGTGGGCGTTAGAGTGGGCGTGGCTTGATCGGAAAAAAACGATTCGCATTGGGAGCATCATAGAAACCTACATGCTTAATCCAGACTTTCTATCACTTATAGTTACCGAGATATCAGCTTTTCTAGAAAATCCGAAAACCGTCCTTTGAGCCTTGTGGGCGTATGGGTGGGTGCGGCCGGATAGTAGTACTACTATAAGATGCGCTGTCATCTAAAGATTATACTTTCTGAATTTCAACTTTCTAACTGCAATAGTTCCTGAGATTTCAGCAATTTTAGTTTTTTGCGATTTGTGGGCGTTAGAGTGGGCGTGGCAGGATGCTGTAATAAACTTGCGCTGTCCCGGGACCTCAAGAATCTTCATGCTTAATCTCAACTTTGTATCTACTATAGTTCCTGAGATCTCAGCGTTCATACGGACGGACGGACGGACGGACGGACGGACGGACGGACGGACAGACGGACATGGCTCAATCGACTTCGCTATTGATCCTGATCAAGAATATATATACTTTATAGGGTCGCAAAAGCTTCCTTCTATCTGTTACATACTTTTCAACGAATCTAGTATACCCTTTTACTCTACGAGTAACGGGTATAAAAAAGAGACCCACAAAAGATTTGTGAACTGATTTCGTATGCTGCCAGCAAACACAACGAAATCATGGAAATTAAATAAACTCCGCACGATCCCTGGCACATTTATAACTTTGAACTTGACAGCCGTTGACTAGATGCCACTAAAATATTCCAAGGTATATACAGACAGACCTCCCTAGTGGTGGAAACCTAGCAGTTCAGAGAGTGATTTTAGAAATATTTCACTCATGTTACATAGAAAATCAAATTTAAAGTTGCAAAGATCAGATGAATGAAAGAATTAATTAGCTTTGGAATAATTAGTTTAATAATGAGGAACTACAAAAGATTTTAGCACTAAGTCCCTTTAATCCCACTTCTCAAGGCACCACTGTACCCAAAATTATACCCCATCTAGTTCTACATATCTGACTTTCTTTGATATGACAGCGTTAATTGAATTTCATTTTCATTCACATTTCCCAGCAGCATTTGGGCGAGCCGAATAGCTCCAATCGGGCTGAATGGTTCATTACGCATGCAGGGAAGCGTTACAAATTAACCCAGTTATTTATGATTATTTCGTTTTAAATTTGGGTATTAAAAATGATTTAGCCGCCTTAACAATTGCCTCGCTCTATTGCATTCTTAAGATGCATGCTGCCGCTGCTGCCCAGCTAGATCTTGTAAATTGCATAATCGCACAGCTGGCCCAAAGTAGAGTCAGTAGTTTGGAGCCTGGCTGGAATGGTAGTATCTGTATCTTCTAGCCGGGGCCTTAAAACGTGTTCCCAGCCGGCTGCTCCATTTTTAGCCCCTCAACCACCCGTTTTCGAGTCGTAATTGCCATGGCAATTTGCAATTGTGCGGCTCTGGTTCTCTGGTTCTGGCAGATTGATGCCTTAGTTTGATAATGGCCAATGTCGAGGCATGCAATTTTAACGGTTGCGCGCGGTGTCAGGAAAAAGAAAGAAGATTTCTTTGGCCTTTCGGAGATGATAATTCCCGGTAGCCCAAAAAACAACAAAGGGCAACAAACTCCCAACTGCAACTGTGTCAAGTGAGTCACACGATGACAAAGATGATCCCAATTCTTATTCTTTTCTCTTACCAAGTAACATAAAAAAAAAATCATCAGTCACGTGTGCTCTCTTAAACATCTTTTCTTTTCTGGTTAATCTCTTTTTTATGCCAATGCAATGGTCTATTGTCTGAATTGGGGGCCAAGAGGAAAAAATGCATTTAAAAAACGATACAGGTGACAGAAAATTAGCAAAAACAAAGTGTTATGTGCGACAGCTGAAAGAGCGACAATTAGGCGCATTTTGTGTGTATTTTTTTTTGGATTTCTCTGGTGTGTGCACTGTCTGTCTGCCAGTTTGTGGCTATTGCATTGAATTCCCCCAAAACCGAAAATTGTGCAATAACAATTTGCGCTGCACAAAAATGCGCGAGCAGCTTGGCCAGCAAAAAGAAAAATAAATACGAAAATAAAAATACAAACCGAAAACTGAGACAAGTTGCGTGGTGGCTTTTGTTGCCTTGTTACACTGTTAATAAAGAAAATCAGAAAATTTTTAACTTTAAAAAAACAAGTTTTATTCTATCATCTGTATTTCATCTTTAAAATCTAATTAAATTAATAATATTTATTTTACTTATAAAGTCTGAACAAAGCCAGCTTTTAAGGCCTAAAACTTAAAATTGAAAACATTATAATATAACTTTTAAAGATCCCACCTCCCCTTTTTTCCCAGTGTACTTGCACAGCCTGGGTGGGTGAACATGTGGCTGGGGGTGTGGTGCTGCAATTGTTTTGGCCCGGGCATAATATTTGAGACATCGTAAATGTTTCACACAGTTCATTAAGCGAAACAAATAAATAAATAGAGTTTAATTGTGCAATCGTC